TATATATATATATATAATGTTTCATTTAGTGTGTTGCGGAGAGGGGGTAAAATTTCACAGCCAGAGACCCGGAAAATGCGGTTGGCTCGGAAAATGTCAGGGATGGGGAGTTTCGGGAAAAAACTCAATCTCGTCCCCAAGTTTTCCTCGAAAATGGAAGTTTTGAACTGGAGTCAGAAAATCTTGAAAAGAGGCCTTTCTAATGGAAAAGCATTGTATTTCCACATATCAAGCAAATACACTTAGCCGTATCAAGCCGTTTTCTTTTTTTTTGTGACAAACGAAAATACTCGCATTCGGCGCTGCCTCCGATTAAACCTATACCTCTTTCCCTGTTGAATCGTTGCTGCGTAAACATCCTCCCAAAACATACACCAACAACAATCTTATGTAACGCAACCATAGCATCCCGAGCGGTTAAACTGAAATTCGTACAGTTCGCATATGGGGCCCATGTAGCACATGAAATGATGTGAACATTGCTGATGAATCGCTTCGAATTAACGTTTTTGACACTTTGATCCGACTGTATCAAGTTTCGGGGAAAATTCGAGAAATTCCCCGAAAATTTTAGGGAGCGGGGATCCCTGAGAATTCCCTAAAAATGGGGAACGGAAAAAGTCGGGGATGAAATTTTGCAGTCAGGGATCCCGGGAACGCGGTCGTCTCGAAAAAAAAAATCTGAAATCCCGTGATGCTCGCGACACACTCGTTTCATTTATACATGTCATTATGTCATTTCATTTGTACATCATCGTTTCATTTATGATCATTATTAATATTCGATAATTACGTTGGAAACAATACAATTGAGAACGATTATTATTAAGGGTGTTGTCACATCAGCCGCATCATTAATCGAAGCACTATCAAAGAAGTGGCCCGATGAATATAAAGGATGCATATCATTAGCTATTTCGAGACTTAGTCGAGTAATCTTTTCCCTTTACTTATAAATAATTGCTTTGAATACTGTTTGTCATTTGTACTTTCAAAATCAAGCAGTGACTATTGTTATAAGTACATAATATCATTGTTATGTAATAAAATAAAAAGTAAATCTGCAGATAGTTACATCGGGCTATACCGATTTACAAGATTATACGTACTATTTTGTGCCAGCGCCATGGCTTTGTGTCAAACTATTGCGTTTACTTCAAAACTATCCACCTCCAGGTACGATTTGAATAATGACGAATCGCATTATTTGTTGTTGATCTAATTAATTATTGCAGAAGACCCGAGCAATAAATCGCGTTTATTGGAATGTCTCGAAGGCATTCTCAACAAAGCGATGGATGCACCAAAGTCCAAGAAAGTACAGCATTCGAATGCCAAAAATGCAGTTCTGTTCGAGTCGATCGCATTGATCATTCATATGGATTCTGAACAAAACCTGCTTGTTCGTGCCTGTAATCAACTGGGCACGTTTCTGTCACATCGTGAGACAAATTTAAGGTTCGTTGTGTTGAATCGGGTTCGCTCACTTCTATTTGTTTTTTGTTTTGCAGATATTTGGCATTGGAATCAATGTGTTTGTTGGCCACTTCAGAATTTTCTCATCAAGCCGTAAAACGTCATCAAGAAACAATAATAAACAGCTTGAAAACAGAACGTGATGTATCGGTAAGGCAACGAGCCGTTGACTTATTGTATGCGATGTGTGACAGGTATTCATTCATTCATCCTCTTGTTAATAACGTTTTGTTCAATGATGAATTTAAATTTCAGATCGAACGCAGCTGAGATAGTTTCTGAAATGTTATCGTATTTAGAAACAGCTGATTATTCAATCCGAGAAGAAATGGTAAGACTATAGTAATGTTATAGATGATGAGGTGTTAATGTGCTATTTGAAGGTTCTAAAAGTGGCGATCTTAGCTGAGAAATACGCGACAGATTATACGTGGTATGTGGATGTGATCCTGAAATTGATTCGTATCGCAGGAGATTACGTGAGTGAAGAGGTGTGGTACCGTGTGATACAGATCGTTGTGAATCGCGAGGATGTGCAGGGCTATGCTGCGAAGACTGTCTTCGAAGCGTTGCAAGTCTCTTTTACTCTCATTTCCATTTGCATTTGATTCGCATTTTTATTCATTCATCTGTCTCCATTCAGCGGCCTGCTTGTCATGAAAATATGGTCAAAGTTGGTGGTTATATACTGGGTGAATTTGGGAACTTGATTGCTGGTGATGCCAGATCGAGGTCATTTCATTTTTGTTGAATTGCATTCTTTTATTATTAAATATTTATTTCTTATGTACTTTAATGTTGTTTACAAACATGTATTCAGGTTTTGTTAATGATACTGAATTTTAGTGCACAAGTACAATTTGAGTTACTTCATACTAAATATCATCTTTGTTCGATTGCAACACGATCGCTCCTTCTGTCAACGTACGTGAAATTCTGCAATCTGTTTCCAGAAATTAAAAGAACAATACAAGAGGTCGATTTCTTTTACTATTTTATTGTGAATATTGCTGTTGTTATAAGAATAAGTGACAACTGGAATAAATAATGAAGCGTTGTTTTATTAAAGGTGTTTCGAAACGACCACAATCTGCGCAATCCAGATGCAGAGTTACAACAACGTGCCGTTGAATATTTGCAGTTATCACATATTGCATCACCGGATGTCTTGGCAACGGTTTCTATTTGAATGTGATTAATATGATATGTTCTTATGAAAGCAGTTAAATCATGAGATCGAAACTTAAGATCCTCGAGGAAATGCCACCATTCCCGGAGAAAGAGAGTTCATTGTTGGCAAAACTCAAAAAGTCGAAACCACGCGTCGAAGAACTGGAAAATCAGACAGCTGAGAAGAAACAACGACCAGTTGCTGTAATGAGTAGTCATGTAAGCATTTGTTATGATTATTATTATAAATATTGTTGCCATAAGAAGTAAAAGTGATATTTATGATAAAATGATAAATGATTCTAGGATGATAAACGATCAACCATAACGACAGCAATAGAAAACAGCAGCGGCAACAGTCAACAGTTGCTTGATATCGATTCGGATGCGAACACATTGGTTGATATATTTGGGAATAAGAATGTAACAAATATGAATACTTCGAATGATGCACTTATAATGAGTAATAATGAGGCAGTGCACATCGATAATCAAACAGATGTGCTGAAGTGAGTTATCGTTTATACTGGATTGATTCTTGTTGCATAGAAAAGATTTTTAGGTTTGTTACCAAAACGAACGGTGTTCTGTTCGAGGATGCACTCATTCAAATCGGTTACAAACTTGAAACACGCGCAAATCTGGCACGTTTGGGAATGTTCTATGGCAATAAAACGAACAACTCGTTCATCGATTTCTGTCCGTCCGTTTCATGTCCTGGTGCACTTGTTTCGCAACTTATTGTACAGGTAACATTATTTGTACAGGTAACATTATTAATTCAATTTGGTTTGAAATTGATGAATGTTTGAATTGAAGTGTAAACGAGTGGACAGCATAATAAGCGGCGGTTCACAAGTGCAGCAGTTGGTGAATTTCGTTTGTGAGTATGAATTCACGACGAATCCATTGCTTCATCTCGTTTTTAAATATACGTTAGTTACGACTTTATTCAGTGGTTTATCGTTATCGTTCAGTTGAATTTGGTTGTTGTTGTTGATGGATAATAAATTTACAGCGACTCGAGTGGTCGACAACAGTTATTCGATAAAATTTTTGCACTTCCGATATTCTTGAACAAATTCTTCGAGCCGACGGAGATGACTACTGAGCAATTCTTTTCGCGTTGGAAACAGTTGGCATTGTATGTGTGATTATTTCTTTTCATTCATTCTTTGTGCATATGTCAAATGATTAATGTCTATTTTCATGTTCAGGCCCGCGCAAGAAAGTCAAAAAATTTTTGCAGCCAAAATGCCAATGGATTCGGAACAGATAAAAACAAAGGTAGGTGATAAATAAGCTTGTTATTATCGTCCACCAACATGAAGAGCGTTGAGGCAAAAACATTGAGTTCTGCATAATGGAATTGATGTAAAAGGAATTATTTGCAATGATGGTCTATTATCATCTTTATTGTATGTTTAGTTGATTGGTGTTGGATCGAAACTGTTGCACAACGTTGACCCGAATCCGGAGAATTTCGTTTGTGCTGGTATTATCAATACAAAAGCACAGCAGATTGGTACGCTGATTCGATTAGAGCCGAATAAACAAGCAAAAGTAAGTTTGTTGTTTCATTGGTTATTAGTCGATTCGTTAATGCTAATTTGTTTGCAGATGTATCGATTAACAATTCGTAGTTCTCGTGACACTGTTGCCAATTACCTCTGTGAATTGTTATCTGAACAATTTTGAGGTTTATTTATACGCTTACTCGTTATCAGCAAGTTCTCATTGATAACAGTACCACTGCTTATTACTAATGCAATATTCGTCGGATAGATGAGAGAGAGCACGGTTCGATTGTCTCATCGATTAATCTTCACTCCTGTTCTGACATAATCATTATTCCATTGACTTGTGCTTCTTAGTGTTAATCACATCTGCTATTCATTCGATGAAATTCAGTTAGGCATTCCTGTAATTGTATTGTTCCCATCACTATCATTATTATTCTTCATCATTTTTGTCGTCTTCATGTGGAAAATTAGACAGTAAAATAATCGTATGGTTATGATAATCCGCTCGAGCAATGCATAAATAATCTCGAGATCATTTAACGCATTCAGTATTAGATTTTGTTTTTAATAGAGAAACTTGACATTTTGTTTGAATCATACAAAATACATTCATTTGCCCAATACTGATGCTCACTTCTTATATTCATTTATTCAGCACTCTTACTTGATATCGATCCATCAATTCAGCAATTCAGTTTTTGCTCCTCTTTCGTTTGTTAATCTTTTCACCTTCCTCAGTATTATTATTATTATCTGTTATTGTTTGTAATCAGAATTGAAAAAACGAGGAGTATGAAATGTTGTGTGAGGTGATAGCCATAAATGATGTGTATCACTGTGTAGAGTAATAAAAGTGATATTATTATCAGTGGTGATGTTAAAGCATTTGCAATTATAAGTGCATGTTATTTCACCATTAATCACAAAGAAGTTTTAATGTGTTCATTTCGAATGTCTTTTTTGGGAATCACTTTTATTGTTATTGTCATTATTATTCAGTGTCATACGCTAATGCTGCTTACTATAATATGAAGAGTATTCATCGGAATTACTTAATGAGCACATTTATTTGAACAGTCATTCCACATAATTTATTTGAAAGGAAGAAATTGAACGCATTGTTTATTTATTTGTTTATTTGTTCGTTTAGTTATTCAAGCATAATGTTTAAGTTGTAGTCAGTTCACTTTGATTTTAATTGTTTATAAATTCAGTGTTGTCAATAAACATTACACTGACGCATCTTTCATGTTGAGTGTACAGTTTCAAACAAGAACGATGCGATTGAATTTGGTCAACATGGTTCAGTTAAAGTCCAACATATTTTTACAGTTCACTTCAATATGAATTGAAATAAATTCGTTTTAACGTTTAGCTGAGTATCTATCAATGACAAATGAAACATAAAATTCATTAGAAGATCAAATTCAACCTGAAAGATCATCTGGGTGACACAAAGCATTCGAGCGTTTTTAGAGGCTGGCTTGCAATGGTTCTTGTGAGGCGTTCTACTTATTGTTGCGGTATTTCTATATTATCATTGAATGTACATAAACAATGTTAATT